TATAATCACATTGCTCTGTATTCCTATAGATTCTGCTGTATCACTCACAGAATAAATGAGTACATTATTCTTATATAACAACTATTTAACAAATAACAAAATGTTGTAATATGTAAATATATATATAAATGTATATAATGAAGTTGTATGATACAAATGGCATCGCGATAAAAAAGGAAAATAATAAAAACAAATCTATGGACACATGACAAAAACATGTTCAATTAAAACAAGATTTTTCATCATCCATCTTGGCAAATCTCACCAAAATAGTCAAAAAAAAAAAAGAAGAGTATTTTGATACTCAGCTAGTACATTTTATGTGGGTTTTTTTTTTGTATTTTCTGATAAACATGCTTTATTTGTATTTTCTGATAAACATGCTTTATTTAACAACAATATAAGTTACAAGGCATTGTAAAATAACACGCCTTACATTTATAAAAAGCTGTGCAGTGTGGAATATATATGAATGGCTTTCCATAACTTCCTTATTTCAACTTGTTTTTCCCCTTTATACAATCATGTAGTATTGATTTCAGTGGCATAACTGCCACTAACAAATACATCAACATTAAGTTCTCATATATTCATAACATTTAAATATTCTTTTAGCCACAAGTACCAAAATGTACCTAAAGCCACCTTAAATAAACAGAGGTATCATAACAGTAAAAAATTTAGAACAAAAATCTATGGCAATCTGACTTTAGACAAGTATTAAAACATACATTTGAACTGTTTACTTTTCTTTCAAAAGACTATAACAACATCACTACAGAATCTTTCCTCCATTTTTTTTTTAAAGAGTTATCAAAATAAAAGAACTCTGATGCAGAAAACACCTTCATAATCATTTATAAATAAGTTTATCTTTATATCTTAACTTCATGGCACATATACATATAAATAACTCATATCTTTGTTGACAGATGAAAGTCTAAATGACCTGCCATTGCATAATATTTGTTTGGTTATCTAAAATGCTCCAGATATTTGACATTTCAAAAATTAAGAACATCTGCACTCTAGCATACAGGAATAGCATGATTATATTCATGGTATGTTATAAAATGGTAGCATTTTTTAAATTGTCAACTGATTCAATTTTCTTGTTCTCAAGTTGCGAAATATTTATACAAATTTTTCTTGTTTTTAAGTTGCAAAATATTCTAAGCTTAAGTTAAAAACATGCTACATCTTAGTTATTTATGTGAAGATTAATTACTTCAAACATCGTAATGGCCTTTATTGCCTTTAACTGTCACAAAAAAAATGTGCTAGTGTCTCAATATGTTACTTATTCTGACAGTGTGATAAATTGAGCCGCGCCATGACAAAACCAACATAATGGGTTTGCGACCACCATGGATCCAGACCAGCCAGTGAATCAGCGCAGTCTGATCAGGATCCATGCTGTTCGCTTACAAACACTATTACAAGTAGAGAAACTGATAGCGAACAGCATGGATCCTGATCAGACTGCGCGGATGCCCAGGCTGGTCTGGATCCATGCTGGTCGCAAACCCACTATGTTGGTTTTGTCATGGCGCGGCTCGAATTATTTTGCATGTTTCCAGATTTAATTTGTCCTATTACTATGCTATACTGTGATTCACCAACAGAAATATCTTTCAAACATTGGACGACAGATATATTTTATATTTTGCTCAAACGAAATAATACAACTTCCCCTCTTAAACCTAATGCCCATGTGAATGAATAAATCATGCTGTGTCCCCTAAGAAAACAAAATACCCAAAGCACCTTATAACAGTTTTTTTTATAAAATTTTACTTTTTATGGTAGCTGCTAAAAAAGTTTTGTCTTAAAAATAACAAAAAAAAAAAAAAATTGAAATCTTAACAATTATAAAAATTTAAATTCAACCCAGAATGTGCCTATCTGAAAACTGAATATTAAATCTTGTCATCTTAGTCGTGATAAGTATACTTTTCCCCTTATTAATGAAGAAATTTTACTATATCCTGATTCTTAATTTTCACAATCAATTTCTTGACCTTTTGTGATTTGTTATTAAAATGGTTTTCCTTTCACTATGCGAAAAATCTTAAACAGTGTTAAGAGGATTTGCTAACAGGAAACACAATGAATTATCTTTTATTTCCTGTTCGTTTTATAAACTTCCTGGCAAATAAACAATCAACGTATATGTGTAGAGGTAGGAATGTGCACACATGCATACACTGTCTATCGTTCTCAAAACTCATTAACAATGCAAAATTACAAGTTACTAAAATTGACAATATGTACATATTGATAGGTAGTTGTGTAACAGGCAGTTTTCAATAAAACCACCTTTGGGGTGAAAAAAAATATATATATATATATATATACAAAACACAAGCCAAAATTTCAAACCAAAAATGCATTAAAGCTATTATATGGATGTAAAAATATTTAAAGCTAGTCAAACAAACATTACCTTGTTTAAATATATAATTATATGAATTATACATATTAACAATAAAAATTACAAATAAACTAATCTGATCTCAGCGAATCAAGTTTAGTGTTACAAAATCAAAGTCCAGCCTCAACATGTAAACATATCACTCATTGGTTGATTTTAAATTGAAATCAGCCAATCAAATATCACTTTTTTGACAGACCTCAGTTTGTAACAAATTTATCTTTAGAGATCTAACCATCTTTTACAAAGATGTTTTTCACTACTATACATTTCAAAAGTTGCATCAAATGCAAGAATTTATTCTAAATTTGCAGAAAAGCAAGAGAAAACAATGGAACACAAATACAAAATTAACAAACAAGTAAAGAAAACACTAATTTACATACATGTACCTTGATAGGATGTAAATGAATATAATGACTGGTACATGTACAAACAACTAAAAGACCTGATTACATAGAACAACTATTATTTATATTAACACAAGAATTTTCTTTGCATTTCAAACAAAAGATCCTATTATGTGAAATATCAATGATAAATATGTTAAAATGGAAACAAAGTTGATGTTCCTTTCATCAAGAAAAAGTGATTGATGACAAAAATGTATGCCATATTCTACATCAATTATGCACAAAAAACCTTCAAGACTTTATCCAGATTAATACTTTTAATTTTTGAGCAAACTACAAATAGTTTATGCAGTAGAGAAAAGTTTCTGACATGGCATTAAAATTCCTGACATTTTTCAAATCTATTTATAGAAACAGAATCTATTTATATAATCAAAATCTTTTTATAGAATCGTAATCTATTGATAGAATTTGAAAGTTCTCTTTGGCACATAAAGCTTTCATTGTAAATGCAAGGCAGAAGGATCCTTCATTAGAAGGACTACGGTACAATCAATTACTTCAATTCCTTGAAAATATACAGTACTTAAACAGGGCACATTTTCATATTACCAAAGAAGGCACAAAAATTAATATGTATTTAGAAAAAAATCAATTTGCCAGCAAATATTTCAATTTAAAACACCATCATTCCAAGTATCAAAGTGCATTATATATTTTTTCACTTAATGAAATAATAAATATTAAACAAAATGTTTTCTTCAACCTAGTATCCTAAATCTATTCTAAATCTATTCTAGGAGTGTCTTTCAATTTCCACTTTAATACCAACTGAATTTGTTTTCTTATCAAGAATAAGACCTCAAAAATATAAATACACACACCTTCATACACATTAAAATCCTAGAGCAGTTACCTCCTAAAATTTTTAAGTAGACTTGTCCAGATTTCATTATTTTGGAAGAGCCCATTTTCAATATTGGGGCTAATAAGATTAAAATTTGATGTTACCCAGCCATAAAACTGACTGCAATAATGTTCATGCCACCTTGGCTCTATACTTGTGACAAATAGGACTGTGGTGTTCACATTTGAGCCACGTCACGACAAAACCAACATAATGGGTTTGCGACCAGCATGGATCCAGACCAGCCTGCGCATTCGCGCAGACTGATCAGGATCCATGCTGTTCGCTATCAGTTTCTCTACTTGTAATAGAGTTGGTAAGCGGACAACATGGATCCTGATCAGACTGCGCGGATGCGCAGGCTGGTCTGGATCCATGCTGGTCGCAAACCTATTATGTTGATTTTGTCGTGACGCGGCTCATTTGATAGTGCCGGGATAGACCATAATTTATAAAACATCTAACATCTGTTTAACAGAAAATATTAAATGGCAGTCATTTAATGTAGTATTAATACCACATGAAAAACCACACCATGTCTTAACACTGTCTTACAGTCATCTTATATATCTATTATAAACTATTATAACACTACAACAAAGGGGATCCAAAAGGGCCAGATAAATCATATCAAGTATTGCTATGAGCCAAGGGAGCATTTTCATCACATGCTACTTGTATTTATTAAAACCACTAAAATAACTCATAAATGCACCATTATTCATAATAAAACTTTTTCTGAGGGGAAAAACATACACAAAATAACATCCAGTGTGGGAAACTAAATTTTTAACTTTTCTGTATCAACAACCCAACAACTAGATCAAAAGTCAAAATAATATATTATGTTTTTAGTTTAACATATTTTAAACCTAATTCTAAAAGTGTTGTCATGTAATTGGCACTATTTTTTCCAAAATAGATAACAGCTAGGTCATTGACTTCTCACTGTGGCACATAACTAGGCCATTGTTTAGATATTACTCAACATATTTGCAATGTCTCAAATGCAAAATACTCAATACGTCACAACATACACATGTATATGTATACATGCAGTCTTCCAAAACACATTCCTTCAAAGGAAATGTCATTGAATGGCTAAAAATCAGTCCAAAAATCAAAACAGCCTGGTATTTATATACGAAAACTAACTCCTCTTATCTATATCTAAAAATAGACATTACCTTCAAGTGGCCTTCACCTTTTGTTAAGATTGTAAACAAGCTAAATATATGTATGCAATGTTAAACAGTGTGTTCGGGTTTTTTTTTTTTTTTTTTTTTTTTTTTTAATCCGAAAAAAAAAAGTCAGTTTAGCTGCAGATAAGCAATGCAATTTGAATGTAGTATTATAAACCCCATTCAATGATTTTAAACCTTTTATTTATACTTTTCTATTTATAAATACCTAAAGATTAACTTAAAGATCATCTCAGTTTAACCACCCATGCAAAAAGTTCAGGTAAAACTTGGGCAAAAAACCAAGACACGTTTTTCAACACATGTTGAGGGGCTCAATTAATCAATATTCTGTTTTTCTTTTTTTAATAAACCCCTGTGTTAAAAAAAAAAAAATGAAACATTTGGTTAACTGTTGAGAATTAGTTCGGGATAGTTTTTCAAATGTTATCATACATCAATTGTTGTCTACGAAATATATTCAGCTTGCAATGTCAATCAAGTTTACCGGCCAGTAAACCCAGCCATCGAGGTTACATGACAATCCCAGCCATAATGTTATATTGATTTCGTATGACGCATTAGTTTTTTCTTTCTCTGCGGAGAACATATACTCTGTAGAGAGATCAATAATTACCCATACTGCAACAGTTTTCTTTACGACGATTTGAATCTTTATCATTTTCTGCAGAAAACACTGTCATAATTTTAATGTTTCTGTTTTAAATGACACCTTAGTGTACATATTTTTTTTAATCTAGTTTTATAACTTAATTTAAGATGTTGTATTACTATTCATATAAGACGACATTTTCCGTAAAATAAGACATTATTTGTTAACAGCAGACGTCATTTACAATCCTCATAAACCTTGATGATTCACCATGTATAAACAACATCTCACATAATTATGCAAATAAACTTAATTAAACCACAAAAAAATGAACTTGTTTTCATCAGTGAAACAACTCACATGTATGATTTTCTTTCAAATCTTTAAAAATTTAATTTTGCTTACATACATGTAAGCTAATTTACGTTTATTCATTCTTCATTGAATGTCATTATCTAAACAAAAATCAAGATCTTGACAACCATTCACAAAAAAGCCTTCAAGCGCAAAAATCTTAATTATGCAAACAATTTCTGTCAAAACAGAACTGACTGTCGACAGTTCACTGTCAAACATACAACACATAAGTTATCTTAATAGATTTACATGCATCATTACACCATGTCTTTTTTATATCTATACATCTCTTGATATCTCTACACTAAGGTACTTATATAATTTATCCGTGTTTCACAATCCTAATGATTTTTAATACTCATGTAACAAATTAGGCTTCAAATGCCATATAAGGAATTAGATAAGTAGAATTTATACACCATTAAATAATTCATATATAAAATACCGAACAATATAAAGAAACAAGACTAGATTCCAAAACTATGAAGACAGTTGATTTGTCTATACACCATTTTGAGTTTGACATTTCTAGAATTGAAATGTCCGTATTTCCAAAAGATACAATGCATAAATGAAGAAACAAACAATTATAATTTCTGGCCTGACAGAGAATTTCAAATTTCCATAAATATTTGAGACAAGATAGTACTTATTTCATGATTCAGTTACTTTCAATACAAACCTTACCTAACAAAATTACATTGCTTGAAATAAAACATATATAATCATTCTAACATGAATACACTTAATTTCAAAAACAACTTCATTTTAACAAATATGTAAATTACACATGACCTTGCTGATTATATTGGCCGAATGTCAAGGACAAAAACACACTTGTAAATATATACATTAAGTCACGTAAGTTACGTCCATTAACAAGTCAATAAATGTAGCTGTGTATTATACACTCATTTGTTTGCAAAAGTAATGAATATTTGTGTCAGTTATTGATGAAAAAAACAATTACAAAATTTGAAAAGCTCAAATTTCCATTCAGAGAAACAGTATTCTATAGCGGACGGGTCATCATTTAAGAACAAACGAAAATTTGGACTTATAATACCGTAACAAATCATTTGGTAAAATGCCATTTTCGATATCTTTGATGATATTCTTTTACAATGCTCTGGGCAATAACCAAACTGAAAAGCCGCTTTTTTGTTGTTGAAAGAAACCTGTCAGTAACTTACTAACTAATCTTTGTTTACTACCTATAAATAAAGTTGAAAACATAACTAAATGCCCAAGCCATGATTTCAAATCAAGCTTAAAATAAAAAAAATTAAGCTTAATTAAATGATCTTATATAACATTCTTTTAAATTTACAAACATAAAACTTTAATACGGTCATACCATATTATTTAAGGTATCATAGTTTCTGGTGCAGTCTTCGGACTTCAAAATAAATTTTTTCGGCACACACTTCTATCTCTGTTTCTGCTAAAGCACCATTGTCCAAAGTTCTTTTACCTCAATTAGAATAGCACTTTTTTGATCTTCAGCTCTTTTTAAAAAGGCTGGCATTTTTCATATTATCTTATGACATCTGAAATGTTGTCCTTGTCCAGTAGAGATGCTAAAAAGCTCTTACTGCCGTCTTTTCCTGTCCTTTGATGACATCAAATACTTAAGTCTATGATCACATAATATGGCACTATGATTCCCGAAGAATCAATTTATTACTTTTGATCTCTTGTACATCATTTTGCATGAACTTGTCTGCGCGTCTTTCGCTAGGGAAAAAGCATGTATGATGAATGACCTTGACATCACTATGAGTTGCTTACTGTACAACTTATCAATATATTTTCCAAGACGATACTTGATAAAAATATATGCTGAACTTACGCTCTTGATGAGCTTGCTGACCATCGGTTTCTATGGTTATCTGATGGTTTGTTGAAACAAAACCATTTGCCATTAAGGTGTCCGAGAGTATCTTAAGCCTGAAAGCAGGCTTTAGATTTTAATGACAAGTCAGTAATATGGTGATGATGTATCGACGTGACGCCAACAGCTGTACTCGCTCCATGAGTCCACTTTTGTCCTTGTTGAAAGCGTTGATGTTGGCAAGGATTCAGTTGTATACTCATCTGCTGAACTGAAGTCAGTGGGAAGAATTTCATAATTCACACCACTATTATTATCCCAATGCTGTCCAGATGGTGTTTCAAAGCAGACGGCAAACTGTACTTTGTTCTGTGTATCACAATGTGAATCTATTTCAAATTCAAAAGAAAATGTATCAAAGTTGTGCACCAAGTTGCCACCAAATGGCTGTACAAACTTTGCTTCAAAGTCTTGACTAGAATTCCAAGAATCAAATGTGCACCTTACAAATACCCGTTTATCAAAACAGATATTCTTCACCTTAATTGTTCCGAGAACAGTGTAGTCTCGTAAAATAACATTTTCCAGAGAAATGCAGTTTTTCTCGATTTTATCACGGAATGCCATGTAGTCGGAGGCAGGTTGTGTAAATTTTAATTTGTAAGGAGGTAGTCCCGAAACAACTGCCTTTTCACCATTTGTGATGCTCTTCATAACCTCTGCTGCTAACTTTGGGGGATGGTCCGAAGGTTCTGTCATTATTCGAACAGTTACTAATGCCAAGCCTCTGTGATCCGCAAAGGAAACTTTTTTACTGGTTCGAGGTGAACAAGGGCTGGTTGGAGTTACCCGTCCTGAATCACAAGAAGCTTCCGACATATCATCACACTCGTTTTGTGTATCATCTTTCTTTATAATGATTGGTTTGATGGCCTTTCTGCGACTAACGAAATTTCTGTTCTCATCACAACCATTGAACTGGCATTCATTGTTTTGTTCATTGTTGTTTTGCTGGTTGTTGGCCCGACTTTGAGCCCATTCACGTGCAGCTTCAGGGTCAAAAGCTAAGCTCAAAAGTTCAAGATTAGTAGCCGGAGGGCTTGAAGATAAAAGGTATGTTGCGAAATCCATTGGCATCTTTGCCATCCGAGGGACTGTCTCAAGGTCTAACATCTGTATGCCTGAAAAGATAAAATGAGCGTCAATAATTCAGTATTAACAAGTACTTGGCAGCTATTCAATTTATTGATAAATTCTATTTGGAAATGAAAATTATGTAAAGATTGCATTTTAATGAATATTATGCAAGCATGAGCAACTATTTTGTTTGACCTTGATTAACACACAAGTGAAAGAAGTGAAAATAACAAAGTTTTGGCAGCTTAACAATTTTAGTCCAAATTAAAATTTAGGTACTGCGTTTTCTTTATTCCTTCTCAAAAGTTTTTTTTTTTTTCTGTTTTAAATAAATTGTCCAAGAGCAATCATTTAAAACATATGTTAATGTAATGTCAAATGATAGTTTCAATAATTTAGAATTTTCAGCATAAAATTCTTCACAACTACCAATTTAAAAATTCTTTTTTTCTCTCCCATATTTCTTTTTTCTTCTCCCATTAAATGTCTACTACCCACTCTGATTTAAAACAATATTTCACCTTTATAAAAACAACTCTTTCTCATGTAAACCTTTTAAATTTCCAGGAGAACCTTGCGACTCAAAAAAAAAAATATAGCAAATTGTTTAATCAATAGACAACACAAGAATATTGTGAATCGATAAATATCTACATGAAGTTGTGGTGACGTAAATCGCTACTTCAGACAAGGCAGTAGTACAATCCTCTCTCATCTCTTCTTCATTACACAAAGCAATACTTATAGCCACAAAAATGTGTTAAAACCCTTATCAAGCAATATTTGTACAAAAAAAATGGTCTTTTCCGGAGCTTTTTTAATTTTCAATTGTTCAGTGTAAAAGTTGAAGGATTTTGTTATTGAAATGTTAACTGTTTAACCTTATAGATAGTCTGGGTGCAATTTAATATCACCATAGTGTAATCAATGGCCAAGGCAAGTCATCATGAACACAAAGTGATTATTATGCCTACTTGTTTAAAATTTAAATTAATATCAATTTGTTGGGGTTTATATTTACCTTTTAAGTTTTTAATACCAGTAAGAATATTTCATAACCTGCAAAGGGAGACCAGTTTACCTGGTTTCCACTCAACAAAGTCTCCTGTAAATCCTTAAGTATCTTAAATTACTGTGCTCAATTTGAAATATTTTGTTTCCATTTCGTCAAAAATACTAAAGCACTACAGGAAAGAAATAATTTTAATTTACATGATATATTTCTCTTCTTTTGGAGGGAATACCAGCCGTTTTTTTTCCATTTTACATACCATTAGGTACTAAAAATAATTAAAACTATACATGTAACAAAAATGGAAACCTATCACCAGGATCTAAAAACATCCTTCTTGCAATAGCTCCATAAATAATATTATAAATTAGGCTCCATAAATAATATTAATTATTATAAATTAGCATACTATAAATACATGTGTAAGGCTACACCTGTATAGAAAAATTAATATCCTGTAAAAACAGTCAATCAAGTGTGTGAAGAATAGCTCTATAAAAGTAAGCGTTATTCTAAATACTTACAATTTACATTTTGTTCAGTCCATAATCTATTAAATACATACCCAACAAGCATTTGTTTAAACTGTTTTAACACCACAAACAATATAACCAGTTTTCAATTTGATTACCATGGAAAAATAGGTGGTATACTGAAGTTGCAGACAGACACACACACACAGCATGGTTTCTGTTGCTGACTACCATGTGTACAGCACATGTCTACTTCATGAACAAGGTCTTGTTGACTAATGATTCAGTTATACTATTACAGTTATACAACCAGGCCATCCACTCCCTGACTGGCAGTAAAAATAAAACTCTTGATTTATTTCCTTACAAAAGAGTTGAGATTGTTTATAACTATGTTTATAACTATATAACCTAGAAAATATATATCTTATGTAACATAATGTTATTAGTGTAGGAGATCAATTATCTCCACTCAGACGTCACATTGAAGTGTAAGATTCTAACCCAGAACAAAATATCTCAGGAGTCCAGCTTTAGCAGATCAAATAATTTGACAATACTTTAATTAAAAACTCTCTAATTAAATGACAATCTTGAACTTAAACTTTATCATTTCAATTATCATGAAAGACTTAAAAACTTGTATCTTCCAACTTTATTACATTGTTGTCAAACATTTTTTATGATTCAAATATTCAAAATTGTAAATGGCATTGATGATGCAGACACTGACTGATAAATTCATCAATGTTAATAATAATTGTACAAGAGGATATTCTGGAACAATTAATAAGAAAAACACATTCCCTGTATGATGTATTGATATGTGGAATAGATTTGAATAATCAGGGATTTTTTGGGCTTATTTTATAGCTGTTATTGGGTCATATTCCCAATTGAAAATAGTATATTACTTTCCCAATTCACAGGAAAAAATTCCCAATTGAAAGTTACAAAATAAAAATATTGAATAAAAATTCTAAACTCTTTGAAAATAAGGGCTCCTTCACTGTAATATAGTGCTTAAATGTTTGAAGATGCCATCATAGACAGTAATTGTTTCACTGTAAAATTTCAGTCATGTATTTTCCCCAATTTTTAACAAAACACCATTGAAATTCCCAATTCCATGGGTATGGGTCATGTTCTCAGAATCCTTAAAAATCCCCGAGAATAGATGATGACATAATTGTCAGTACAAGTGTTATATCTTTCAAAATGTAATAAAACTTGATAAAAAGTTGCAAAATCTGACTTCGGTTTAACCATTTTGTTTGGGCAATATATACGGGTATTTACGGGCTCCGATTCCTTCAAAAGTTGTTAATATAGGAGCTGACAATCCTAAAAAGGCCAAATGGGTCAGAAGACATAGAAGGTAAAGGTAAAGCCTGTAATCAAACCCATGCCACTGCTAGTTGTCAATCCTCTGGATAATGGTTTTCAGTAAGGTGGGGAAATTACTCATACAAAACTATCGGTACTAGAAATTGAAAACAATTATTTTGAATATAATGGTGTATTATTTTGAATATAGTTCATCTACGTCCGAATCTGTCAATTTCACACCTGTGTTAACCGACCACTCTTTATAAATTTCATAAAACATGTTGAAATTCATACTTAACCATTTTTTTAACAGTTTTATAATTTTGGGGGAAAACCCTCTTTTTTTTTACGTTTACTTTTCTTCCGAATTATTCCCAAATCCTACTTTATTTTATATAATTTTAAATAGATGGGGGAAAAAAATTTTTAAATTTTTCACCCATTTTTTAAAGAAAATTTGGCAGGGCAAATGAACGAAAATGAAAAATAAAATGTTAGAGAAAAATTTTTCATTCATAAATAACCCGATAATTGACAAATTGGTGTATACAAATGCTATTGAATTTATTATGATAATATCTAAAAAAAATAGCCTGAAATGAACTTCCCTTTCGCATTTTTCTATAAAATTCAAAAAATTTGTTATTTCCGAAAACCCTTAAAAGGGACTTTATCAATCCGACTTTTTTTAGCCCTTTGTAATAAAAACCCCGGCTTTTAAATTTTAAAACGGGCCCCGTTTTTTCCCTCTCCCAAAATTTTCAAATAAAAGCAACTTCAAGGACAAAACCAGTTTGAAAATGTATCAGCCAGTGTTAGGTCAAGTTCAACATTTATAAACCAATCAAATTGCGCTTTAATTTTTGCCGCCCAAACAATGAAAACGCGTCCCAAGAACGAGGTGTTTCACAAAATGGGACAAAATGGGATATATCAATAAAATTAAAACATGTGTGCATGATATAAAAAAAAATCTTGAAAAAATAGAATTATACTATCGGTAAATCAAAAATTTGCAGGGCAATGACCTTTACTGACTGATAGTTTGAAAAAATGCCAATTGCAATATAAAAAGTGTGAATATGTACTATCAAAGTATGGTCAACTTAGATCCAGTCGCGTAAATGGTACATTTTTGTCCACTTGGTCAGTGGTGAAAAACCTTCACGCGAGGGGCAAAAAAAATCGGACGACTATATTATTATGTTTAAAACCCTTTTTTTCTGGTTCTTGGGGGAAAAAAAAAATTTATGGACCCCCCTCCCCGTTTTTTTTTTTATGGGGTTTATTTAAAGGTTTGCCGCCGGGAAAAACCCATAAAGGGGGACCGTACACTCAAGTCGGGGCATCGTAGAAACGTCCCCCCCGAGAATTTTTTCCCTCGATTTTTTTCCCAGCCCTTTTTTGGTGGAGGGAAAAACCCCGGTCCCCTCCGGGCATTTTTTTCAGGCACCCCAGCGGGGGGCCCCCCTTGGGGGAGGGGGAAACCCCCCCAACCGGGGGGGCCCCCCTTTTTTTTTTTCCCAAAGGGCCCCCCGCTGGGTTGGGTTTCCCCACTGAAAAAATTTGACCCGAGTGAGGATCGAACCCACAGGGTGAGGGACCTGTGATCTCAAGTCCCCCGACTTTAAAACCCCTCGGGCCCCGGAAAGGGCCCCTACCCCCCTCCAGTCCGCGTTGGCGTTTTTTAAAAATAGAAAAATGTTCAAAAAAATCACAGCTGTTACACGTATATTTAAAAGTATAGATTTTTATAATTTTGGGGTTTAACATTAAATTAAAATTTTTTGGGGTGTGAAAGTTTTAAAAGCTACAAATATAAAATTTTCTAACATTTTAGGGTTCTTGTTTCATTTAGGGAAGTAATTTTTTTCTTCTTTTTGCAAAAGGCCCTTTAGGGCTTTTGTCTGGTCCCAAAAAATATACATCAAAAAACCCCCATCAAACTTTAGTGCTTCCAGACAATTTTACATTGAGGGGCTTCCAGAAAAATTTTAAATTGGTTTCTTCCCGACCAAAGTACATTAAAATGCTTTTCCCGACAATGTACAATGTTAAAAAAACCCAATAGGAAAATTTAAAAAAAACAAAACCCGGGAAGGGAGCAAAAAGAATTTTGACAAAAAACTTAAAATTTTAAACGTCACCAAAAAGACCTTGACCCTTGGGAAAATTCCCCCTAAATCAAAAAGGGGTTTATCAAAATTTTTTTTGGGATGGTTTCCCTTTCCAAGTTCCCCCAAATTTTTGGCTTGTCCTTCTCAAGTTATTGATTAGGGCAAGCACATAGTGTCATTTGAAAACCCTTTTAAACATAAAAGGGGGAGGGCAAAAGTTTGTTTTCCTTTTTCAAAACTGACAAGTGTAACTGTTACCTTTTGGGCCTTTTTACCTACCCAAACTGAAAAAATTTAACCAAAGGGGGCTCCTACTGGGCCCTGGAATTGCCTATTATGTTTTATAAAAACCCAGGCCCTTTTTCCCTTCCCCAAGTTATCAAAAACGGACAAAAGGATTTTAAATAAAGCACCACTTTGACCTTAAAATTTAATTTAAAGGGCAAACTAAAGACCCCAGGGGAAAAATTTTATTTCCCCATTCCCAAAGTCACTGTGACCTAATGACCTTTTAAAAAACCCAAAAAGGGACCTTTAACAGACCATACTATCCTACCTGCTAAGACAGCACAACCAAAAGTTGTCAGGCTATTGAGCAGACAACAAGATTTTAACATGGCTTATGGATGGAGGGAAAAACACTGTATCATAATATGGCCAAAGCTACCTTTGGGCATATATAAAGGGATCACAAAAGCTAATTATTGACTGGTCCTAATATTTTTATACTAAATGCAACACTTTTTGCTCAAAACTAATGCTACATGAGCCTGTAAACACCTAGGCAACCTGTAAAGGAAGGACAAGGA